AACAATTCATTTGGTTTTCTGGAAACTTTTCCCGAAACTTTTTTTTTGGACCAAAAAAAAAACATTTTGTTTTCGCTACTTGTAATTCACATCTGTCATTGATATATCAATGTATAATGTGTGTGTGTGTGATTCTAAACATTTACAACCTGAACATTAAATAAAAGCGAAATGTTTTTTAATCAATGTTTGAATTCGGTTTTGGTTTGTTTTTTTGACTAAATAGAATTCAATGAAATGAAACTAAATGTTTTTTGTTTTGTTTTTCGGTGTTTTTGATTTGAAAATTGAAAAATCATTTTCATTTTCATTGATGATATGATTGGTTTTTTTTTTGGCCGGGAAAAAACAAAACAAAAAAAGTTAATTAGATTCGGTAATCAGAATCGAGTTCCGAAACGGATTCTGTTCTTTTTTTATTTCTCTCATTAAAAAAAACAAATAAAATCAAATCCTATTGCCTGCTTGCCTGCCTATTTGTTTGTCTGCCTGCCTGCCTGATTAGTTTCGATTTAATGAAAAATCTTTTTTTTTATATTCAAAATAGATCTATTGCATAAGTAAGTGTTATGTTGTGTGTGTGTGTGTGTGTGTGTGTGTGTGTGTGTTCTATTTATAGGAATCAAATTTCGAAATTATAATCATAATCATCATCATTATTCAATGTAAAAATTGTGTAATATGAATGATTTTTTTTATGGAAGATAGATATATTTTGCGAAACAACCATATATATGAAATAAGGAGATTATTTTAGTTTGGGTCTGGAATAAAGTGGATTCAAGTGTGCGTGTGTAACAAGAATAGAATATTCTAAGAAAGGAATAACTGAAATTCATCATAATTATAGCATCCATAGCATTATTTTCAATAAAACTTGAATTTGATTCGTTGTTCTATATGATGATGGAAATACTGACTATCAAATGACTTTTTTTTGTTGTTGTTGTTCATTTCATTGCATTTACAAACATAATGAGCAAAGAAACAAAACAAACAAGCAAAAATCAAACAATAAATTGATGTTTCATCATCAAAATCTATGATATTTTTTTTTGATAAAATTTAATGATGAAAAACATAAGGAAAAAACTTCTTATTGAATCCAGTAATCAGGGAGAAAAATCAAAATGAAATAAGAAAAATTGCAGAAGAGAAACGAAGGAGAATAAATCATTAGGCAGAAGATTGAAGATTGTGATTGAAGAAAGCTTAATTAACCCTTTTTTCTGCAACAAAAAATTGCATCGACAAAAAAAATATTGCATCCATACCTGTACACGTGAACTTGTTGTACTGAATGCAGTAAAACTTAAATGTGCAACATCATTAACTAGATCAGCAGTAACACCATCCCATTTACCATCCTTACGTATACCAAATAGACCATCAGCAACCAAATAAAGATCATAATCAAAATGTAAATCTCTTGCAACTGCATTTAGTAAATCGATTGCAATACCGGCACAACAATTAACATAATATTGTTGTCCTTCAAATTGTCGTCGTTGTGAACGAAAATCAGTAAATATTGATATTAAATCATCACGAACATTTGTTGAAACCTATTGCCAAAAAAAAGGAAGGAAAGAAAATTCAATGTTAAAAAAGCGATGTGGAAAAGAATTTCTGGAAAATTTCTCGAAAGCTTTTTTTTCAAAAAATTCAATGAGGTTGTTGTTGTTGTTTGTCAAATTGATCATTCTCTCAATTTCAGTTTTAATCTCTCTAGAGACAATTGTTGTTGTTGT